CTGGATCATTCTTGGAAAGATACACATGGCCAAAGAAGGGAACGCAATTCCCTTCTTGAATGAATGGAAATTGAGTTACTAAGATTTGCTGGGTTAGTTATGAGGGCAGGATTTGTGGCACTTATGGGTGGGGTTGTTCAGGTACCTAGTTTTCTTCACCTTTGAGGTTGGCCATGTAGATGGGATACCTAGTAGGTAATTATGCTCAAAGATATTTTTCTATTTGTTATAAATCAATTTATGAAGCAATTCATTGTGGATGTTTAACCTTCTTTATCCTCTCACCTCCCCACTTGCCATGGTAGTTTCACACCAAGTGATGGTATAACTTCAACTACTTCTATGCAATTATAGTAGTGGTTAACACCCTATAATGCCATGCATTTAGACGGTAATAATGGGATTCCCTGTAACCCCTTTATTAATAAGAGATTAATCCTTGTAACCTCCCATTTAACAAGTGTTATTATTCATATCACTTAGTAGCCTCTATATATAGGGTTTGTACCCTTGCAAATGTATGGAGAAGAAATGGAGAAGAATGGAATTATATTATATCTTTGCATTGCCCCCCTTTATCTATCTAATTGTTCTCCTTCTTCTAATTGTTTCTTTCTTCATTTTACAACACGTTATTAGCATAACTTACCTCTATATGAATTACTATGCATGAATCCTATTTGAGATGATGAACCAATTGACGTAAAGAGATAATTTGAGGTGAAGTTTTGAGGTAAGATTTTGAGACAATCTAGTTTTCAACTTCTTGTTTTCTAATTTGAATATTCTATGGTGCTATAATAATTTTCTTGTCTATATGTTGTTTTGCACTTGTCAAAAGTCTTGAGTTCATTGATCTTGATAAATTGACCTCCAACTATTTGTTGTGAACTCTTGATGTGTGTTGACGTGCCAAAATGGATGGAGTTGCCATCTATCCAAATGAGGTGCGATAGATCACCAAGGTCTACGTAGAAATTGATTAGGCTCGGAGAGTCGGTTAAGCATGGGGAA